GCACTTCCTCGTGCCTGCCCTTGGTAGGACCGTCGAGACTGCTGATCCATGTCATCTCAAGCTCAAACTCCTTGTCTTTGTTGTCATCGTGTGCGACGTAGATGATGCGTGCTGCCTCCTTGACACCCTCCTCTAGTGATAGATTTCCCTCGGAGAGGTTGAGTTTCTCGAGCTCTGACTTGGCGACCTGGCGGCCCTTGCCTGTAGCGGCACCGTAGTAGCCCTGTGCACGTTAGTTGTTGGACAAGTTTAGGTCACCAAGGTCTCCATACCCAGTATAGACCGCTGGGCTCAATCATGTAAAGCGATGGCCCACCATGCTTTGCGCCTTCTTTCTTGCCTCCCGAGCCAACAGTAGGCCCTGAACCAACTTGACCATCTACTGGTAGCTCGGCCTCGGAGTCCCACCCTGCAAGGATTGCAGTTATACCGAAAGGACGGACACTCGAGTAGAGGGTATACGCTTGGGCATAGCTTCCCATACGGTCGGCGAGAGACGAGGAGGGGATGGGTGCCTTGTAAAGCTGCCGCCATTGGGCTGCCTCGTCGCGGGCGCGGGAGACGAAGTGGCGACCATCGGGGAGGAGACCGGAAGACACAATGCCCATGTTGCGGTCCACAGTTGCTATCCGCTTGTTCGCGCCGGGCTTGAGCAACTTGCTGCTGACGAGCTTCTCCAGAGCGAGTACGACGCCATCCTTGCACTTGATGCCGACCGCTGTGCCACCATTCTCTACTGCCTTAACCGCGTATTCGACCTGGAAGTTTCGACCGTCGGGCGAGAAGACCGAGTTGGACAGATCGTAACCTGTGCCTATTGACGTCTACGCCATGGTTAGATCGACTGGGGTGCTTCAGCTGTTACGGTGGGGTGTTTACCATGGTGGGCGGTGTGGAGACTGAGAAGGGCGCTTTGTTTGTTCCGAGCGATCAAATGGACCGCAGATTCCCGGGAAGCGATTACGGGATTATCAAGGGTTGGCAGTCGTGTGTCTCGGTGTTGATGATTCTAGGCAATGGTGTATCTGCGCAAGCTCCAGGTAGCTCACTAGCGCGCGTGCGTGCCAAGGCCGACACCTAGAGGCATCAACCCGCGTACGTGAACAGCAACTCGCGAGCATTGCAACTCTCGGTCCTCCTTGCTTCGCCCAGGACTGTTGGTGCGATCCGACTCCTCGTTGCTGGCGCTCTACTGGTGTGTTCGCTGCCTGCTGTCCCGGCTTCTCCCGTCTGGGCCTCCAATTGCCCGCACCTCACATCCAAAAGTGCATACGCCCATACACATTTGATGAGTTGTCGTCCCAAATCGACCACTATTTGCAAGCTCTCAAGACACATCATTGGCTGCCAGCAGACTAGCCGGACAGGTTGGGTTTCAGCTTCGTCACTAATTGGATGTGGGCGACAAAATTATCAGAATCATCCCGCCTACACGCATGACCCCGACAGCACGCTATACTCAACGGTACATAAAGAACCACCATCACGCTGCTGCTAATTTTCTTCTTGCCCCCTCTTCACTGCTGACTTGGTCCAAGTATATTTGAATACCTTTCCGTTTGTTCTTGACTCACAAAGGCACCCTTTGTCATCCCCCGCCGATTGTCGTCAGCGCCCAACGCAAGCGCGGACAAGTACGATTCCAAGTTTCCATATACTAGCCAACGACGAATTCTGAGCTCGAGTCTACAAGGTCTTTCAACGATATAGTCCATCACTGTATGCGCCTTTGTCGACTTCCCGCCTAATACAATACTTGAACCTCCGTTTTCCAGAACTTGCCCCTCATCCGCTTGCTGTTGAGACCCTAGAGGACATGCAGCCCATGCTCCTGCACCACTGCGACTGCACCCACGACACGCCCATCTCATTCAGTCCTTACGCCTTTTCTCAGAACATTTCTTGCGCAAATGTAAGCTCGTTCGTCTTCGGCGCTGGTAAACACTAATGTTACGTCATAGTGCGGCACAATATCTACGGGCATCAACGTTCAGGGGAAAGCAGCAGAAGACGCAAACATGCAGCAAGATGAACTTACTCGGCTGTTCTCAGCCAACATGAACTTGTCTCAAGGCAACCCGCAGCCCATGCAACCACAGATGCAACAGGAACAACCGGTGCAACAACAGGAACAGCAGGAAGAGGCTCCCAAGCAGATCGTCTACGCTTCTCAACACTACACTCATTCATATCATGTACCTACCCGCAGTACCTCCGAGCCAGCCTTGAAGACACACATCGAATCTTCGGACCTCGCTGCCGTACTTTTGAGGAACAGTATTGATCCTTCTCTTCTGTTCCCTTCCCAGATCGATCTCTTCCAGAATGCAGACGACGATCAACGGCTACGTCTCCTCGAGCTCTGGCGCATATCACCTCCATCAGGTCGTCAAGGACACCCAGCGGGCGTAGACTACAACATGTCCCGACAGCTTTACGACTGGCCACCCACCAGTCTCGCACAGGAGGAAGCCATGGCTAAGCTGAGATACGAGAGACAACAAGAGGAGTCCGCCCAGCAAGAGGCTATCCAGCAGCACCAGCAGCAGTTGGATCAGAGCATGGCAGCAGCAAGCGCTGAGCCATACATGGCATCAGGCTACGAGATGATGGCTAGGCGCGAGTATGAAGAATCATGCAGAGGCGAGGCTGCGTTGAAGGAGTCGACCAAGTACAACCAGGCCACCGATCCAGTCTACAACAACACTGGCGGCAACGGCCTTTGGCAGAAGAATGTGGGCAGCGTAGCTGACATGGAGAACACTTACGGAGCATACGCATATGCACGAGAGTATGGGCTGCAGGGTGGTTATGGCGACGAGGAGATGGTCATGTGAAGCGTCCTCTCGTTATGCCGGACCTCGGGGATAGCTCAGGATGGATTGTTAAGCGTGTGCATGCATATGTGCATATCGAATTTCCTATATTATACCCAGAACTAATTGTACACACGGACAGTAACGTGGGAGGTCTGTCAAGGATGAGATAGTTCAGTCAGTAGGATACCCAGACATCACTACTTTGTGATTAACCAATCGAGCCATGTCTAAACCTCGTTACATGGAAGAAGAGAACAGTGTCCACAATATTGTACATTTGAGCGGGATACTCTATTTCTTCGCCTTTCCACTGGGCCACTTCTTCCAACCTCTTCCGTGTCCCTTCTGCTTCCATTCCTGGATCAAAGCTGGCATGTTCAACATGGCCTGTCTCCTCATCTCCAAGCGACCCTTCAGTGTTCGCTCCCAAAGCTTTCCCTTGACCTTCTGTCCCTCGCCTGTGCCCTTGACTTGCAATCCTCTTTCTACCCTCCGCCTTTCCTTCTCGCCGGGCTTCTTGACGGTCCATGGCAGTAGATCGACAACACCGTGTTCTGAGGCAAGTTTAACAAGATCGGCTTGTTTCCGTAGACCATACGCGGGGGAGTGCCACCGTCCGGTTGCGAAGTTCTTGTGTGGGAGGAATGGATTTGGGTAGGGCAGGTCGTGTGCTTCTGGTGGTATGTTTGAATTTGAGGGCGCATTCGCGGGTCTTGCGATGGCCTCTGGCGCAGATGTCTCGGTCACGGAGGCATTGGGGTTGGTTGGTGGGGTTGTCGATATTGTGCTTGGGGTTGCGTGTGAAGTCGGTGATGCGAGTTGAGATGAGAGACTGGGGAAGAGCGATGGTGGCGGGTACTTTTGGAAGAAGCGCAGTAAACGCGGGGGCAGCGACTTTGCAATTTCGACAGACGTTTGGGCGCTCATGGTGGGTATCTTGTGCGTTGCGCTCGATGTGGGCGTGTCTGTTGGTGCATCTCAAAAGTTCGGTGCCAAGAAGGCGGTTTCGAGCTAGGTACGAGTGTCCAGGGCGGCCCGGGGAGCTCGCGCCTCCGCGTAACACTGTGAGCTGCCTGCCCAGCTGAGTACATCACAAGCACCCACAACACCGCCGTTTCCCACATACACCGCAGAGCTCTACGTCCCCGTCTGTTACTGTAGTTGCCAATCGAGGGTCATTCCCCATCACATACACAGCCATGGTAAGCTGCCCGCAGTCAACTTGGAGTCCATAGCTAATCGCAACAGTCGTCACCATTCTCAATAAGTACGCCTCCACCGAGACCACCCCGCATGCTCTTCTAATGACTTGAACAGACGGTGGCGCCTGCGTGGCCATGGTGGGCAAGGACTGCGTAGCCATCGCATGCGACCTGCGTCTCGGCATGCAAGCCCTCACCGTGTCCAACAACTTCCCCAAGATCTTCCAGTACGGCGACGTCTTCCTAGGCCTGACCGGCCTCGCCACCGACGTATCCACCGTATCAGACCTGTTCCGCTACAAGGTCAACATGTACCGCCTCCGCGAAGAGCGCAACATCAGCCCCCAGACCATGGCGAACCTCGTCAGCTCAAGTCTGTACGAGAAGCGCTTCGGACCCTACTTCATCAGCCCCGTGATCGCCGGTATCAACCAGACAAGCGGGAAGCCCTTTATCTGCGGATTCGACAGTATTGGGTGCATCGACTTTGCGAAGGACTTCATTGTTAGCGGAACAGCCAGTGATCAGCTGTTCGGTACATGTGAGGGACTGTGGGAGCCTGATCTAGTGGGTTGTATCAGTACGTGGTATCGGGCTAGGCTAACATGATAACAGGGCCCCGAGGACCTCTTCGAGACAATCTCACAGGCGCTGCTCAACGCTGTCGACCGAGACGCACTTTCAGGCTGGGGCGCACACGTATACATCATTGAGAAGGACAAGGTCACAAAGCGGTTACTCAAGGGCAGGCAGGATTGAGGTGTTGTATGGCACGTGGTGGCATATAATCATGTTTATGAGCTATGAGGAATGCTATAGGCCGCCGGGGGTCTGCCTCCAGGCTGTGACAGGATAATGGGAACGACCAAACTATCTTATGATACGTACGCGGAAGCACCCCAAATACGCCAATCTGAACAGTAGACGGCTATACTTTGCCTCTGAATGAAAGTATCTCTAAGTCTACAAATAATCATCGATGGTACAGCTCCTTCCTCGAGCTTGGAAGCCCGAAGGTAACAGTACCCAACACCGGACTATCGGTTGGACTGGCTCTGTCCCTGCGTATCAAGGTCTATCTAGTGTGTGTGATACTGTTCCAAGGTGGTTCCCTAGATGCTACCTGGGAACCACATCATGCAGTGGGGCCAGGGTACTATCGATAGCAGCCACGCACGTGATCTGGTGTTTGCCTTAGCGTGCATGCACCTTATAGTTCGCGCGAATCCTCCTCCGCAAGTCCACAGACCGTGACCCCCGCGAAACGAAGATGACTGCCGCCGTTCCGCCCCCAGCTGCTCGCAAGCAGCCACCGAGTATCGACGACATTCTCAAGGCCAAGCGCGAGAAAGAAGCGGCTGCCGCAAAGCCCAAGTTCATACCGAAGGCCGAGAGAGAGCGCATCGCGCTTGAGAAGCGCCAGAAAGAAGTTGAAGAGGCGCAAAAGAGGCGAGAGGCTTCGAACGGAGACAGCGACGCATGGAGACATTCGCAAGACAACAATCGCACAAATGGCCACAACGGCCACAACGGCTCGTCCTCATTCGTACCCACGGGGCCGCGCTCGATGCGCGATGCGCCGACTGGACCATCGTCCATGCGAAACGATCGCAGAAATGGAGACATGGCGCCTCCTCCACCGCCGGACAAGAAGGGCAACAAGCGCCCTGCTGACGACACCGAGGCGGCCTTGATAAGGCAAAGATACATGGGCGCGGAACAAAATCAGTCGACGTTCTCGGCCAAGAAAAAGCGCAAGAGGACGACGGAAAAGAAGTTCAACTTCGAGTGGAACGAGGAAGAGGACACGAGCCACGATTACAATCCCATCTACCAGCAGAAAGCTGAAGCAAGCTTCTTTGGGCGCGGCCGACTAGGCGGCTTCTCTGAGGAAGTCACCAGCGCAGCGACAAAGAAGATGATCGATGCAATTATTGAGCGAGATCCGGAACATGGCAGAGAACGAGCTGAGCAGCTGCTTGAAATGGAGCGACGGCGGAAAGACAGGGGCGGTCGCGCACAGTTGGACATGCACTGGAGCAAGAAGAAGCTGGAGAACATGCGAGAGCGCGACTGGCGCATCTTCAAGGAAGACTTTAGCATTGCTACCAAAGGAGGCGCAATACCGAACCCTATGCGCAACTGGGGTGAGTCAGGGCTTCCGGAGAAGCTCCTGCGCATCGTGGACGAGGTCGGCTACTTTGAGCCCTCACCTATTCAACGTGCGGCTATACCTATTGCTCTGCAGTGTCGCGACCTGATCGGAGTCGCTGCAACGGGTTCGGGTAAAACCGCCTCCTTCGTCCTGCCACTGCTTGCCTACATCTCACAACTACCTCCTCTCGACGCGTTCAACCGACACGATGGCCCGTATGCCCTCGTCCTCGCACCAACTCGTGAACTGGCTCAGCAAATCGAAGTGGAGACCCGCAAGTTCGCATTACCATTAGGTTTCAAGACCGCTGTCCTCATCGGTGGTCACTCCATCGAGGAACAGTCGTTCCAGATGCGTGACGGAGCCGAGATTATCATTGCCACGCCCGGTCGTCTGGTTGACTGCATTGAGCGTCGAGTCCTTGTTCTTAGCCAATGCACTTATGTCATCATGGACGAAGCTGACAGGATGATTGACATGGGTTTCGAAGAGCCCGTTAATAAGATTCTCGACGCTCTACCTGTCAACAACGAGAAGCCTGATAGCGAAATTGCTGAAGACCCCACTGCCATGAAAGCAGGAATGTACCGTCAAACCATGATGTACACAGCTACTATGCCGCCAGCTGTAGAGAGAATCGCGAAAAAGTATACACGTCGTCCTGCCATCGTTACAATCGGTAACCAGGGCGAGGCTTCCGACACTGTCGAGCAGCGTGTCGAGTTCGTCCAGGGAGAGGAGAAGCGGAAGAGGCGTCTCCAAGAAATCTTGAATACTCGCGAATTCGCCCCACCGATCATCGTCTTTGTCAACATCAAAAAGAATTGCGATGCGATCGCTCGCGACATCAAACATATGGGCTTCGCATCGGCTACAATCCACGGTGGAAAGACCCAGGACCAGCGTGAGGCTGCTCTTGCATCCCTCAAGAATGGGCAGATCCAGGTGCTCGTCGCCACAGACGTGCTCGGTCGTGGTATTGACATTCCAGATGTTTCCCTGGTTGTCAACTTCAACATGCCACCTAGTATCGAAACGTATACGCATCGCATTGGTCGTACTGGTCGATTGGGAGCGGACTCTGACAAGCCCGGTGTTGCAATCACTTTCTGGGGTAATGAAGATGCGGATGTGCTATACGATCTCAAGCAGATCCTCATGAAGAGTGAGATAAGTAAGGTACCTGAAGACCTGAAGAAGCACGAGTCGGCGCAGCAAAAGGGCAAGAAGAGCATGGGCAAAAACATCACTTGATCAGTTGTAGGACCAGCATCCATGAGGACGAAGGTAGGGAAGTAGTTGATTACATAGCTCTCCGTTCTTACCACAGAGAAGCACGGTGCAAGCCGCAATAGGAAGCAATAAAGCACAGTCGTCATAATTTTCCGAGACATGGGCAAACTGCCAACTGCCATGGCAGATGGCCTAATGCGCGACTCGGTAGTGCCGATCTACCCCGGACTGCCTGCACTCCTAAACTGCAACCCGTTAGCAAGTGGAGAAAGGCAGCGTCACTCGGACGCCCCGTCCTGTTGGTTTGCAATGCAAGCCGCGCGTGGTCAATTAGTGCACGCGCACCGTTGACGCTCGTACACGGAAAATCCCCGCCTCGATAGAAATAAGCCCTTACTCGATGTCGCTTCCTACCGGCCCGTTTCTCCTGTCATTTCTGTCGCCCTGCTGTGCGTTGCGGTACCCGTCTCCTCTTCGAACTGATGGCGTCGCAATTCTGCCTCTTTGTGCCTGGTTCGTTGTTGCACGGAGGAGCTGCGTTTTGACCAGTTTGAGACGGAAGGCTCGGAATGGCGTCGCTCTCTGTCAACCTTGCTTCTAGCGTCACATCGTCTGTTTTCGCGGCGGAGTCGACACCGGCGCTGGGGACACTCGAGTCCGCCGGCGCTGGAATCACTGGAGGTAAGTTTCTAGCTGTGTCTGAGCAACGCGATTGTCCTGTACTGATGCCTTTGTAGGCTACACCGGCGATTCTCTTCCCCTTAAGATCATCATCGCGTTTCTGCTCGGTCTTTCGCTCTACAACGCTATCGAACTCATTGTTCTCGCTTTCGTTACTTTCCAGCGCTACCATGGCTTGTACTTCTGGTCGCTCGTCATCAGCGCATTCGGCATCATACCATACTCGCTGGGCTTCATCATCAAGTTCTTCCGCTTGTTGGACCCTGCGGCAAATGCTGGATATGTCGGCGTCGTCTTACTCACGCTTGGATGGTATCCCATGATCACTGGTGAGTTCAGTCAACGCTCGAGGCCCCCAGCATGCGGCTACTAACAACGTCCAGGGCAATCAGTCGTTCTATGGTCGCGTCTCCATCTCGTTACGAACTCGCGCCGAGTCCTTCGCTGGACTCTCTACATGATTATCGTCAATGGCGTACTGCTCCACTCAGTTACGACCGTCTTGACCTTCGGTTCCAATTCGAACTCGCTTTCCGATGCTACGCTTCGTCGCTTCGTCCGCGGATACTCGATAATGGAGAAAGTGCAGATGGTGTGCTTCTTCGTGCAAGAAACCATCCTGTCCATAGTATACATCAAGGAGACGGTACGACTACTGAAACTCTCGGAAACGGTACAAGACGACGTACGCAGTTTCGACGACAGCGCTGGAAACCAGTCCCACGGGCACCTCAAGAACACAAACGTTCGAAAGACAATGTACCAGCTCCTCACTATCAACGTACTAATCATCGCCATGGACATCGCCTTGCTCAGCGTCGAATTCGCCAACCTGTACCTCATTGAAACCACCCTGAAAGGCGTCGTATACTCCATCAAACTCAAGCTCGAATTCGCCGTCCTAGGCAAACTCATCCAACTCGTGCGCGTCCGAGCCGAATCCGATCAGAGCATGAACAACGCCTACGCACGCGGTAACAGCTTCGAACGCCGGAATACCCTGACACTGGAAAAGACACAGAGTGGTACAGCGAGTGTGGGAGCATCGGCGAGACTCAACGGCAGCCTGCTCACGCACGACTTTGGCGGATCGCAATACCCCGACTTTGTGGATCCCCGACGCATCAGCCCGAACGTTACGCATGCGGAACCGGCGAATGGCGAGACTGGGTGGGAGACGCGAGGGCAGCAGGAAGATCAGGATAAGTGGAGGAGGCGGGTTAGAGTCAAGCGGGGGAGCTGGATCGATGAAGAGATGGACAAGCATAATATTGGGTGAAGTGGCAGTCTATACCTGACGGGCTGACATGCGGATCTCGACTTGCGTACGAACAGTACCCTGCCCATTTCATCACGGATCAAGTGAACTTCGCGCCGTTGTGTCGGATGCTCAGACGTGGGTAGGACAACACTACACGATCTCCGCCGTTGCCCCGATGTCGCGGTGGAAGACTTGCAGCGTGCACAATACGAGACTATCCTGATGGATTCTCTGTCCTCAGTACGACGATCTCTCAACAGATCCGATACATCTCGACGTCTTACTCAGCAACCTTCATGATGTGTATCACAGCCTGTTCGAATCATTCCCGGACGTCGAAAAACTGCCTCCAACCTGGTTGCGGATGGTGATACTGGAAGCTCCACGCAATGGCACCTGCATAACGGAATCACCGAAGGGAACGTCTGCATACACTAGCTGGACGCAAGACGAGGCACTGGAAGCAGATCTCCGCGACGCTTATTATCAAAGCCTGGAAACGATTGCTTGGAATGGGAATCTAATGCGGGGTCTTCGAAATCTGTGTGTACACGCTGTATCCAGGACTGAGCTTGAGTTTCAAGCGTCGTGCTTGGAAGACACACTACGTAGATTTAGCGTAATTCATGGGTACTCTTTACTATGTAGTATCTAGTAGATAGAATGTCCACCGTATATACAAACAAGAAATAGCCTGTTCTAATTACCTTGACAGTTGCGCAGTTTCCCTTTTACAATTTACAATTTACAAAAGATAATATTGACAACCTAAGACAAAGCACCTTCCTCGTAAGTCGAAAGTCTCGCGTGATTGAGGTCTCTCCCGCACCCGAATGCTACCTGCTTTCCCTTTTTGAATATTACATCCTCCACTTTGTACCAAAGACCTTGTCTGCTAGAGAACCCTACGACAGCCGAATATCTTAGGCCATCTAGATGTATAGGCTGCAAACCACATCTTCTGACATTCTCGACACGGGCGTTGCAGGTCCGAGGTTGTGCGATAGTATTAGAAGTTAAGGCTCCAAAAGGCCTCGAAGTCGGCGCTGCCTGTCGTTAGAATGGCATCGCCGTACGGTTGAACATTGTGCTTGTCACGAACAAGGTATTACGCAGCGACTATGGGGAGTCCATGAAGATAGGATTCGCAAAGATACTCTTCCTACTTGGCTTTTCTACTATAGTTCTATGCAGTAATATTCTTCAGGCATTCCTTGATCTAAGTGAGATAGGGTATTAATTTGACAAACATGATGATGTCGATGTATGCGGGCACAATACCGAATAGGAACGCTGTTTACAAAATCTCAATACAGGCGTAATGAGATGGCTACACACCTCGTGGTAACCGGTTTCAGTACCTAAATATGCTTGACTTTATACCGACAGACTTTGACTTTACGTGTTTTCTTTCGTTATGCAAAACACCAAAGCATGAGATGTGGCACTTGAATAGCTGAAGACCTTAGAAGCTGGTCTCAAAAAGACAAGACTGCATTACTAGTACACTAGAGAACGTTGTTGACAACGAAAGAATGCGCCTTTGACTTAGACTAGGGCCTGTTCTTGGTTCGAGCTGGTCATTGAGATGGTACTCCTGAGCTTCGCGCCTTGGTCCACTTTGTTGCTGCACATTACCGCGACGACGGGTGTACACAGGTATGAGCATGAATGCGAAACAAAGCTAGGCGGCACCAACTCCAGCAGATCGCCAGGATGCGGTTTCTATGTCCACATGCAGCAGATGATCAATTGAAATCAGGTAGAAGTCTACATTGCGGGAAGATGTTGCAGTTGGTGCGTTGAACACCCACGTAGTCTCCATGGCACGTGTCCAGTTTGTGCATTGAATGAGATGCTTCAACTTCGAGTGCGAAAGATGGCTAGGCAACAGTCCATCACGAAGTTGCTCAGCCTGCTCCGTACTGTGGCTGAGCGTGGTCGGATGTAGAGCCGAGCGAACAGTGCAGCCAAATATGAGGTGAAAAAGGCGCACATATCTGGTTGACTCAGAGAGGTTTGAGAGTAACATGTGATTGGAAAATGGCAGAGTGTAGATACTTCTTGGTATGGATACTATTGCTAATAGACAAGAGAATGATCGAATCACAAATCGGGTGTTACTATGTACCTACGCGAGTGCGCGTCCCACGTCACCTGGGCAACATAATAAGAAAAGATATCCTAGAGCCTACTTAACGTTAGCCACCTACTTTGCAGGTTTCTGTCTTGATGTAGTCTGCAAACATACATTATGCGCTACCTATACAAGTGCGCGTCCCCTGTTAACCTGCCCAGGTGACGTCGACGTTAGTCATCCACTTTGCGCGTTCTTGTCTTAATGCATTCCGCACAACCTAAGAACAACTGAAAACCCTGAAGCCTACGTTGACGTTAGTCACCCACTTTGCGGGTTTTTGTCTTGGTGTAGTCCGCAGACGTTTTCGTGTATGAGGTTGTCCCATGGGTGAGGTAGCGCCGGAGACTAACGCCGATCATGGCTGAGACCCGCAGCTGTGGTCCCCCTCACCTGCGTGGCCCTATAGGAATATTCCCGTTTCAATCCTACTCGATGACTACCTAGGTACATGAGGCTTTTTCGCATTGATTTGTCATTAATGAAGGCGATTTGATGACCGTTTGCAAGGGTAATGTCTCGATACTGAACCATGGTTGTAGTGGTGAGTCTGTAGGTAGCGTTGGCCCGTGGCGCACTTCCGCATCGCCTAAATCTTGGGAGAGTATATAGCTTGTGCACGCCCGTCCGTTAATCTTACCCATAACATCTCTCACCCACATCCAATCAACACCAAGACACCAACATCACAACGCCAAAATGTCTTACAATAATTACACCAGGACTAGCACTGGCCGCCCAGAGCCAATTCAGCAACAGCAGACCATGGCGAAGCCCACCAGGAAATACGACTTGGTTGTTGAACAACAACCGATCCGAGCCCGCATGTGCGGCTTTGGTGACAAGGATCGAAGGCCGATCACACCCCCGCCCTGCGTCCGCTTGGTCGTCTACGACACCCACACGGGACAAGAGGTCCCCTTCAACGACATCGACAGCACCTACTTCGTGCTAATGGTCGACCTCTACGACGCGCAGGGAGTCAATGCCGTCAACCTGGTGAGACACAGTAGCGCGGCGCCGACCGTGTCGATATCAAGTAGCACCACCACATCATACCCTCCGCCGCCCGAGCGAACACACCACATGTTCACAGCCCAAGTTCAGTACGACAACCGCGGTGGCATGCCGCAGCAGCATATGGTCCAGTACGGCGGAAACCCCGTTCCAGGGCCCCAGGGATACTGGCAGGCCCAACCACCGGGCTACCCCATGCCGCAAAACATGTACGGGCAGCCCCCTGTGCAAATGACCAACACAATGATTCCCGCAACACCCATGGGCTCGAATCACACGCGCAATCTTATTGGGATGAACGCTGTCAATGCATGCCGCCTCCAAGATCTCGACCAAAAACCCGGCTTTTGGTTCGTACTGCAGGATCTGAGCGTGCGCACCGAGGGTACATTCCGGCTGAAGCTCAGCCTTTTCGACATTGGCTCCAACGACGGCACCAACGGCACGATTCACATGAACGACGGCAGCAAAGGCAAAGGCCCATGCCTTGTCTCCAACTTCACCGAGCCCTTCACTGTCTACTCCGCCAAGAAGTTCCCCGGTGTCATTGAAAGCACCAAGCTCAGCAAGTGCTTTGCGCAGCAGGGTATCAAGATCCCCATTCGCAAAGATGGCCCCAAGGTGCCTAACCAGGCTGAGTTTGATGAGGATGCGTGAGAGCTGAGTGAGAGGCGTACGGGTTGACGACATGGTCGTTGGCAGGTTAAGGATGATGGATGCATGCTCTGGGTTGGCGTTTTGGGATTTCGGCGTCGTCGGAGGTTTCTATCAATACGTTGCGAGCGAATTTCTGTACGTATCGCAAATGGACAAATCACTAGTTACTCATCCTTGTTGCTACTGCTGATGTGAATGTTCTTTCAAATGAAGTGATGTATAACGCAGCCTGAAGGGATACGCGGTGTTCGCGAATGACGATATACAACCTACAACACATTGATACCTCCAGGCTATGTTATCAATGAACCCACCTTATGCAAAGAAGTCAACAGGTGCATTGAAGTCTACATCACTCCAACAACGGACAAGGACGAAACACCAAGGCAATGTAGACATCTGTATGATTTACTTATAACAGGAATTCAACATTATGCCCACTAACCCCACTGGAAGAGTGTCTGCTTTTTGCCCTTGTTGCCCTTCTTCTTCCCTGCCGCTCCTGCATCCTCCAAAGCCGGTGTTGATGTACCGCTGTTCGTGCCGGATGGGCCAGCCCAAGGGTTACTAACTGGAGTGTTGCGTCCGCTGTTGTCGCGTCGTAGTCCATGGCCAGTGTAGCCAGGACTGAAGATTGTGCTGGTGGGTTTGGCTGCTGCTGGGAGAGCTGGGAAGGCGTCTGCGGCAGCAGGCTTCCTGTTTACGTTTGTTGATGATGCGACTCGCGATGGCATGGGCGAGGGGCGCGCGCTCGTTGCGGCAGATGAGGAGGCCCAAGGCGTTTGGCCGGGCTTCGCACCGACACGACCCGAAGGCGCTGGCAAGGCTGGGAATGGGTTGCTCGACGATGCGTTCGACCAACTGGCTTGCTGGTTGGCTGTGGATCGAGATGATTGCGCTGTTGAACTCTTCAGCTTCAGTACCCGCGAACCTCCTCGCGCAGTCGATCCGCCGTTCAAGCCTGTCGCAGAGCCGGGTAATGATGGATAGTCCTCGTTGATAGCCTTCCAATCATTCCAAGCCTTCAATAGAGCTTCCCGCTTTCCTGGCATCTCGAAGATGTCTGCCAATTCTTTGATCAGCTTCCCCATCTCTTTCGAGTTAGCGTCGAACAGCGCAAAGAACCCGTCGATGAGCTGTGCCGCGGATACCTTGGAGTTGCGATAGGCCGATACTGCGGCTCTGAACTCTTGCAGCTTGATCTCGCTACCCCGAAGCATGTTTGTGGCCCGTTCCGTAACTGCGTTGTGACGCAACTGTCTAGCCTGGTCCTGGGGTGTCTGTGGAACTGGGTTGGGTGGTTGTGTGTCCATGCTTAGTTGAGCGACGCCATTTGTGATATTGTTGGCAGCCGCTGGGGTTGGGCGCGACGCAGTAACGGTAGGAGGCTCTGAGGCGCTTGGAGGAGGTCTAGCAGCGAACGCCTCGCCTGGAGTTGGTGCAGAGAGCTGGCCCCCAAAAGTTCTTCCTGTTACTGAATGAGTGTTCTGAGCCTCCCTCTGCCGCTGGTATGCAAGCTCTGCTCTGCTCAAGGGCTGCGCAGACGACGCAGGCACTGGCTCAGCGTTCGGATCCCGTCCGCGTCCACGGCCTCTGCCACCCTCGCGTCTGCGCTCGTCTCGCCTGTTGTTACCCTGACCTTGCTCGTGAGGCGCCCTGATTTGGAAGCCAGACATGTCAACTCTCCGGGCATCCCGTAAAGCGTCCTTGGAAAGGCCGTTGGGATGCACCTCCAACTGGTGCGCCTTGAGGTCCATCTCAGAATCGAACACGACGAACTTCTTCTCTAGACACTCTCGGTCTGGGCAGAGGAAATGGTCTTTCCGAAAATGCACCTCGAGCGAATCGTAATTGACGTAGTATTGTTGTTTCCTGCTTCCTCCCTCCCGGCGGTCGCAGATATGGCAGCGCTCGTGCTTGTCCCTGCAATGGGTGTATAGTTCGTCGTCGCCGTAGAAACGCTGGTTGCAGAAACCGCACTCCGGGTGCCCTTTGAACCCGCTTTGATCTATCGCTCCAGGATTATCGTCGCCAAACTTCTGGTGCCGTCGTAGCTCGGCCATCGTGAATAGGACGTGCTCGTGGGTAAAGACCTTTTTGTTCCGCGTACAGAGGTCACTTTATAATGTTAGCCGGCATCATTTGTTCAGAACTGCAGAGTACACACCACATGACTTTTCCATGCGCCGTCTTGACATGACGATGCAGGTCCGGCCAACCTAGACAGGCTACATCGCACTCGCCGTCGGGGCAGTTGTACTGTAACAGCAGTCGCGCGTCTTCAAACACGCCAGAGTTCTCAAAGTGTATGCCCAGGGTATCGTCGGATTTGAAAAACTCGGCGGTGGAGAAGTCCTCGTAGTTCTTCTCGGCGTCGTCTGTGAGGATAACGTGGTCCGACTCGGTTCGACAATGTGCACAGGCCTTTGTTTTATACAAGGCCCGCATTCGGATGGAGCAGATGTGACATGTGCGGTGGTTGCAAGGAGCGACGGCTGTGTGCTGAACGGGCGAGGCGCAAATGAAGCAGACTTCGGCATCGTCGTCTTCGATGTCCGATTGCTGGAGGTTGGGCTTGACGAGAGTCGGTGGAGCGTGTCCGCTCTCTTCTGTGTCTATGGCAGGCGCCTTGCCCTTCTCCGGCGCGTGTCCACCGCGAGTGCCCGCGCCGTCTCTGTTGCCGCGACCTCGCCCGCGGCTCTGGAAGCCGCCCCGACCACGGCCTCGCCCTCCGAAGTTCTCATGGCCATCTTCTCCACCGTGTGCACCTCTGCCGCGCCCACGCCCTCTTCCCCCTCTCCGTTGTGGGCTTGCAGGAACTTGCGGGGTTTCCGGGGCGCCTGTCGAGGCCATCGCGGGGTATTGTTGCGGGTCTAGGGGGTCAGTATAGAGGGTTGTCGGTATGCACGATGCCAGACAGTTGTGCGAAAATGAATGGTCAGGCAGAGGCAGGCGGGCGAGGCCTCTTTGTACGGTAGGCCTTTGTTGGTAGTTTGGCGAAAGCTACTTGCGATGACGCCCTTCACAAGCGAAAGCTGTTAGCCCTGGAGATGGCCCATGCTCAAACATGACTCAAGCACTGCCAGACCGAACATGGCGCAGCAGTCGCTCGAATGAGTCGAAATGATTGTACACTATATTGTCTGTATGGCCGTAGTCATGCCTTACCACTACGCGTGCAAAGACACGTTGTAGCCTCCTCGATGGCTACTCCGAAAACACACTCCACAGACTTCCCCAGTTTCACAATTCACGTAAGCCCAGTTCCTCCTCATCAAACTCATCCTGATAGAAGGACCTCAGTATCTCCAGGTATTCGTGCCCTCCACTGCCACCACACATAGTCTGCTTAACCCAGCCCTGCATGGCGTAAATCTGGTCGGTAAACTTCTCAGCGTCAAGATGAGCCTGCTGAGTTTCGGTGGCTTTCTTCTCCATTTCGACGGGGTCTTGCTCGCTGTACGCGGCTAGCTCAGTCCTGAGCTTCTCGAGGTCTCTGGTGAGGTCGGCATGCTTCGTAATCAGTGTCTTGCGGTCGCCACCTGCGAGTGATGAGCATGAGTGCAACACATGGTGGATTGGTAATTACCTGTCTCCATGAGCATCTCTTCGTCATCAGCGCGAGCCGCACCTGCATCATCCACTTTGGCCTGAAGTTCGGCTACAGTAGCGGTGGCCTTGTCAAACTCCTCTTGGGCCTTCTTGAGAGCAGCATCTTTGGCTTTCTTCTCGTCGGCCGGGAAGCTCCAGTACCAGTTGCCGCTACCAATTTTCTCGACGCGAATCTTGTTATCGTCTGAGAGTGCTTGGAGGTAGTCCTTGACCTGCATGCCGTTGATAGAAGAGACTTGTGGCAGCGTCTTTTCGAGGTCCTTGATGCTATGAGCTTGTGCCGTCTTATGGAACCAGGCAAGAATGGATGCCGCCTTCTGCGGGTTGGGCTGAGTTTTGGGTGCCTGCTAGTGTGAGTGAGTGCGCGAGTGGGAATCTTGTCCGAACTGACCATTTTCGCCCGACTAAGAAGACGAATGCTTTTGCAGCGGAAGTGAAGCAGGAATGGAGACCGAGAAGCGATGGCCGTGGCGATCGTGTTGAAACTAAGGTCGCGAGATTTGAGCGCGCTTTTGATCGCGTCTTCCCGCTTGAAGGAAGGCACGCTAGGTCCCCGGTTGTGGTAGGAGGCAGGCACAACCTCAGTCTAGCTAGAACCTCGATCGCATCAACACTATTGGCACTCATCTACGACACCCGGTAATATCCTTTCTACAGTAGAACTTGAACATTACGGCGTGAAGATCAGAGGTGTGCGTTCAGACGGGCCTACAAGGCGGTGGTACGCCTATGGCATCATGTTTGACCCATCAAGTCCTCCTTGCGAATCTTTTGGCTCCAGGTCGAAATGAAAACTTTTCACTCCTGAACTTCGCCATTCCACGTATTGCGATACTCAATCCAGATCCTCTTCAAAGTCGTCCGACTCTTCTGAGTCATCAAACGACGACGTCGACGACGACTCATCGGACGAAACCCACGTCACATGCTTCCCTGTCTTCTTTTCAACCGGCTGCTTCTCTTTATCAACACTTGGCTGCTCCTTCTCTTTGCCAGTACCCTGTTTCTGCGCACCACTCTTCGTCGCCCTCTTCGCCTTCTTCAGACCCGTGAGAATCTCATGTTCATGTTCCTCAGCTGCTTCGGTAAAGGCCAAATCTCCCGTCTCACCCAGTGCATCGCGCGCCGTTTCTTCCATCAGGATGCACAGAGCAATGAGCGCGGTTTCGTTCAGGCCTCTCCACGTCCTTCGCATGAGCTTGCGCGAGAAGCGGCGGCGTCGTCCAGTCTTGAGCCACAGCCTCTCGATGTAGGCTTTCATCGCGGTGGCCAGATCTCCACTGGGCAGCTTTTGGTCAGGAGGTAACTTGTTGTGAGCGGGATAATAGTCATCTTCCTCGTATCGGATGGGCGCATTCTTTCGCTTGAAGAGTACTTCGTCTGGTCGAAGTGGTTTCCTGGATGCCTTGGGATCAGAAATGTTGTGAATCAGACCAGTTCGGGCGACTCTGCCTAGATATCTTTAGATTAGCTGTCTTAATGATGAACTTGGGCGTCTCTTACGTTTGACGGCATCGTAGACGGTGGATCGGCGCTTGCGAAATTTCGTGCGTTTAATCTTGAGCTTTTTCTTGACGGCAGCCATGCAAGATAGCTCCGGAATGTTTGTCGTGATTGTCGTGCTGAGGTAAGGTGGAGTGCAAAGGTACGCGGCTCGCTTGCTAGGATTGAGCGCCCGTTGGTGAATGTGTTGCGACTGCAGATCCCTGTCGCGTGTGGACGCCAGGCTACAACGTCATAACCTTGGAACCCTCTGCGCCTTCCAGGGTTCTTCTTTCCCTCGCTCCAACACACACGAAGCATGTAGTCGCATATGAACGCCCAACACGTGCTCGACCGCGCGTACGGCTTCATTCCCAACCATGTCCTCAAGCGCGCTTATGCCTCCCGTCTTATCTACGCGCTGCAGCCGTCTTCCGCCGTGACCTTCAGTCAGCACCTACCGGCTCCCGACAACCCACGCGAGCGCATACCGGCGCATATATCCGGAGTAAACGCGCTCACAATCGACAAGTTCGAAGGACGATATCTGCTTTCTGGAGGTGCCGACAGCTCCATCGCGGTATGGGATCTCGAGGCGCAGACCACGGGAACCGAGGCGGGAGAGACATATCTGCCTTTGACGGCGGTGAACAAGACGAGCGAAGAGCACAAGCTGGGCATCACGCAGATACAATTCTATCCCTTCGATTCTCTGGCCTTCCTCACGTCCTCGTACGATCACACCGTCAAGCTCTACTCCAGCGAAACACTTGCGACGTCGGCGTCTTTCGATCTCGACTCGGTCGTGTACAACATCGCCCTGTCGCCTATCGCATCGCACCTTCTCGTCGCATGCGCCACCCAACACCCCAATGTCCGTCTCGTCGATCTGCGTTCCGGCGCAACCACACACAGTCTAGCGGGCCACTCTGGCGCAATTCTCTCTACAGCATGGAGCCCTGTGCGGGAACACATTCTCGTGAGCGGAGCTACAGACGGCAGTGTGCGCTTCTGGGATGTACGCCGCAGCGTCGGTGAGCTGGGCGTATTGGATCTCGAGGACTCAGTCGGCATACTAGGGAAGCCCGCGCCGTTCACACGCAACGCTACCAATGCACAAGCGCACAGAGACGCCGTGAACGGGCTCGTCTGGACAGAAGACGGCAAACACCTAGTCTCCTGCGGCCACGATGCGAGAGTACGCGTCTGGGACACAGACACCGGCGCCAATACCCTCGCAAACTTCGGCCCCATGGTCAAGAACTCTGGGCTTGCGCCGCGTATCCCCGTACTTGCACCCACGCAGAACCTCCAGCCAGGTGCCGATCTCATGTTCTACCCCAACGAGCATGAGATACTTAGCTACGAGCTCTTTGAGGGCAAGCTGATCCGCCGTCTGCGCCGCTCACAGCAGCCCCAGACGAACAACCCACCTAGTACGTCTGGTGCAACAGCAAAGGGACAACGCAATATCAAGGATAGAATCACAAGTCTAGCGTGGCGGCCGCATCACGTAGAGATGTATTCTGCGCATGCCGATGGCAGCATAGCGGCATGGACGCCGCGAACGGAAGAAGACGCTGAAGCAGACGAGGACGAGCAATTGGAGCGGGAAGAGAAGGAGGTGGATAAGAAGAGGAAGAGAGGCGTGCTAGATGAGATATACCAAGGGTTGACCAAGAAGCAGATTACATTTGGCAACATGGGCTTTTAGCCAACTGATAGTAATATTGACAACATGAATTGAATCGAATCGCTCAGACTGTTATATTACAACACGTGCTACCCGCTGCGTCTCCTCATATGCCCATTACATATCATCATAACAGTACAATATATGTCCATCATCTTGCAAGCCCGATCCATTTCTCCGTCTATTCCAGTGTCTATCCAGACCCAAAATGCGGTAACCTAGCCGGAACAAATGGCTCTTCACCAACTCCCCCTCTTTCGTCTTCTTCTCTCACCTCGTCTTTGATAGACAATGGTCGATTCGGCGTAACAGCCTTACTCGAGTAATCGCTCTCATCCACATGAAACGCACTACTATCCGGCATCGTCTGCGTATCTACGAAACTCGGGAAAGGAATCGCATCGCTCTGGTTCATCGACGGCGCAGTCTCGCCAACAGGCGTGCGTACAAGCGGAGATACAGTCGAGTCTACCGTTGTCATAAACCGCGCTGGCGACGCAGAACGAGGCGTGCTAGATTTGGTGGAGAGAGGTTGATCGGGCGCTAGACCGCGCTTGACGGCGAGTTGCTGCGCTTCCTGCCGTTTGCGACTGACTTCCCTTTCTTCTTCTAGACGAAGACGTTCCTCTTCTTTCGAGAGTTCGTCGAGCGTGGGGGGAACTTGTTCGATTGTTTCTGAGACGGAGCGCGCGGAGAGGGGCGGTTTGTCCGAGTTGCTTGTGTTGCGGGAGGAGAGCGTGCGCGTGGATACGCGGGATGCGGATGGGCGCTTGCTCTTGCTTGAGCGGGCTTTGTTGCTGCTGGGCGTGTCTTCGTTCCATTGGCCCGTTGTGCGGCGCTCGAGGGCGATGGTGAATTCGTCGTCGAGGGGCACGGCGTCTTCCAGCTCGTCTTCGCTAGGGAAGATGTCGCCTCGCGAGCTGAGGGAGTCGGTTGTGTGGCCCGATGTGTGCGTGTTGCTTCGCTGTCGGCGGTGGCCTTTGTTCTCGGGCCCGTCGAGCGCATCCTCGTCGCTGTCCTCTATCAGTGGCTCTTCCTCCTCACGGTTTCTTCTTGTTGCGCCTGG